AAAGTATGTTAGATGGAGCCTCAGAATCCTTGCCTCCAAGGAGCCGCCCGGTTTAACCCTCTCCAGGACAAATCTGTTTGTTTTCCTAGCAGTCCATGGTATTCTCAATACTCTTCTCCAGCACCACAGCTCAAAGACATCAATTCTCCTAGGTACAATTTCTAGTTAATAAAAAATATCTGAGATAGTAGTGATGGCTACACAGTATTGTAAATGTATATTGTACTAAAAAAATGGCTAAAATGGTAAACAGTGTTTAACAAAACAGAAAAATACAAAACAAAAAAAAACCCTGCAACCCATCTGACCTGTCTTAGGCCCAGCTTCCTTTGTAGTAAATCCTGAAATGATCTCACAGTCACATGTCATAGTCAAATAACACTTCACATTCCAGAGATTAAATTCCCGACCCATTTATACTCTACTGTTAACTGTGCATCACTTTAAGAAACTCTTAAGCTGCCACTTACAGGCGAGTCTCCTAACATACAGAGTTCTGACCACACTTAGTACTGGATGGTCAGGAGCCCAAAGCACCCTCCACATGGGCCTTTTGGTTCTTATTTTATCAGAAAATCACTGAAAATCCTGAGGAAAGACTTTCCTTAAAGATTCATTAAGGTACAATTCAAGCCTTAAACATTTTTACTCAAAATCCTAGTTGCAAAAAAGGTTGTATTAAGCAGTTAATAAAATGAATGCATATTTCCTGGCCTGTCCTCTCTCTTATTCCTAGGGCACATCAATCAGTGAGTTTAGGGTACTCGGTCTTGGTTGAAGCCTCAGCATCCTGTGGTAGAGCCTTTCTTGAAATGAGTCAATGTCATGTGACCTCGAGCTGGAATTCACTTGCAACCAACCCTCCAGCAGGTTTTCACCGCCTGCAAACCAGGAGAAGACTGTCCATCTTTCTTCCCAGGAGCAGCTGTTGGATTTGAACCACTTGCCTTTGGTTTGGTAACGCAACTGCCACCAGAGCCTCCTAATAATGGAATAAGAACCTTCCTTTCCTGAGTTCAGCGTGTGGTAGGTAGGCACTCTGCTAGGTGGAAGAAAAACCAAAATTCCAACCAGTTTCTGCCAAGTTGATTCCAACTCCCAGCTGTGCCATTATCCACAGGGTTTACAGTTGGGACTTTTCAGAAGCAGATGGCCGGGGCTTCCTTCTGATGTGCTTCTGGGTAGATCTGAACTGCCAACCTTTAGGTTAACAGGCAAACATTGAACCTTTGCACTACTCAGGAGGCCTACACAGAAAAAAACATACATGATCTCCTTTAATCTTCAAATGATAAGGTGGGAACCCTCTTATTTAGGCTTGTGTGGTTAGGCCTCTACATTATTTCTCAAAAAAATTACTGAAGATTTAAAGGGCAGGGCATTTTTAAACAGCTCTCCAGGGATTTTAACGTAAAGTCAGTCTTAGTCATTAAAAGGGGAACAGCAGCCTGCCAAAAATAACACCCAGGGACACAGCTGCTCAAGACAACAGGGCCCCACAAAGACCTCAGGAACAGGCCTCCCTCAGTCCTGGGATTCCACCCTTTGCTGCCCTCATGCTGTCACCTTTTCCCACATAATCACCCCTCCATTACACCCAAGCCTGTCTTCTCTCCAGATTGTATCTGTGCTTTCTTCATCTTCCCGTTCAATCTCATGTTTAGGCCTATTACCATTTGATCATCAAATTCCCATGAAAACACGAACCAAAAATCCCTTGAGCCAAATAGCCTGACTTTTCAGAATGCCTCTTTCTCTGCATCGAACTTGCCTGTTTGTAGGTGTGCTTGAGTTACCTCCCTATACAAAACTGTACTTACCTAAGTATCATTTGTCACTTTTAGAATATACAGGTGGCCTCATGACAGTGCTGCCTTGCTAATGAAAGCCCCACTAGCCCTCCCTGAAGAAGAAAAGATGGGCAGTCTTCTTGCTTCAACATGTACAGCTTCAGAAAACTGATGGCTGCCATGCCCTGCAGTCGACTAGACGGCAGGCTTGGGGTTGTTTTTAAGATGTAAACATAGGGATGAGTAGCCAAAGCTCTGCCTAGTTGGAAAAGTTAACCAAAATAGAAATAAAAGTGAGCCTCCCTCCTGAACTAAAAAATTAAACTTAAAATCAAACTGATCTTAAAAAATCTTTATAGGGGAGCTCTGGTGGCCTAGTGGCAAGGAGCTGCAACTATAATCCCAGAGGCGCACGGTTCGAATCCACCAGATGCTCTGCTGGGGAAGGAGGGACAATCTCCTCCTGTACCAGTCAGATCTGATTTGACAGTACACTCACACAAAAATAATATAAATTAAATAAATAAATTTAAAAAATCTTTGTAGTAGCTACTTCCATGAATAGAACATGCATCATGAAAGAAACCAAGTGTGTATAAACTGCTCATTGAAAACCAATTTGTTCTGAAATTTTACCCAAATAAAAATTAAATGTTTATCTCGGGAGTTTCGAAGCCCTAGTTAATTCAAAGGCCATGCCTCTCTAGCAATCTGAATCGACAGGGCAGGGTGTGTATGTGTCCTCGTCCGTCCGTCCGTCCTTGGGAGAAAAATGGACAATCTCTTCCCATTCAATTTAGTCTCACAAATCCAATGGACGTCAGCTAGGAGAGGTTTTGACTGAATGACATTGAGATTTTTAAGAGAAGTTAACAACTTTA